ACTATATTTAGATTCAAAGACTTCCAAGGATTTCAAAGACCGTTACGAATCCTGCGTTGGCTACCTCCTTGCCTTTTTCTTCAATTGCATAAAGCTTATTGGCAAGTCAAGCGATTGGCGATAACACGTTGGCTATCTCCTCTTAAGCCCATGACGAAAATGGGTGTGGTTTGGGCGTGGTTGGGGCTTAACTGGAAAAGAGCTTAACTCGAAGGGCTTAACTCGAAAGGATTAACTCAAAGATTACCTCCCTCCATTGTATGGCGTTTCTATGGCGTTTACGAAGAAAATAACTTGGGAAACTAAAGAGAATCAGTTGAGTCAGAGCTCTTTATTTAACTCGAAGAAAGAAACACAACTTGGAAAGTTCGAGTTAAGCCCCGTGAAAAAGGAGGGGCTTAACTCGAAGTCATTGAAAATATTCGAAGTTTGAGTTAAGCCCCGACATTTGAAGCATATATTAAAAGAGCAATGACTTGAGTCGCCCACAATCTAGCTGGAAATAGTTATCATACGTCTGGGCTTAAATGAGCTGATCTGATGCAATTTTTCGCTCTTAGCTTTGTACTGAGTGTAGCCATCTATTCTGTGGTGTAGCACCTCATACAGTCAATGTATGTTGAATATACGATCTAAATAATATCGGCACTTAATTGAATGCCGGTAATGCATAACATCAATTTATATATTGCGTAGAATCTCAACGATTTTCTCAATATTCATGTCTGAAATGTTTATATATTTGAAAACAACATTGTCTCGCTCCGTCCTAACTCTGCTAGTATAATGAATATACCGTAAAAATAATATCGGCGCTCAATTGAATGCCCAAGCAAAATCTCAAAGATTTTCGGCTCTCAATATTAACATCTGAAATGTTTATACACTTGAAAAAAAGCACTGTCTAGCTCCTTGAAACCTAGCTCCGTATATTAATGAACATACCGTCTAAATGATATTGGTACTTGATTGAATGCCCGTAATGCATAACATCAATTTATATATTGCGTAGATCCTCAAAGATTGACTCAATATTCACGTCTGAAATGTTTATACATTTGAAAACAACACTGTGTCGCTCCTTCCTAGCATCGCCATCCTGATCTACCGCTTGATAGCGCATGCACATTTGCGCTACTAAAGAAAAAATCGGGTGTTCCGGGCTAAAGTCCTTTACACAACATGAGAAGCGAATTAATGTTATAAAAATTTTAAAAAAATACAATAACGACAGCGATTCCTCGAATTATATATTTGTGAATTTAGAATATTTAAATAAGACAACTTATATAGGATCGAGACGGTAATTTATGATAATTATTTAAATGCTCGGACGAGTTAGGGGCAGTTGTTTTTATTCCATGTGCTTGGTCATATACAATATATAGTTTGTAGTTTTTTGTACGTGGAAGTGGCCTAAATACGAGGTAAAACATTTAATTTCCGACTTTTTTGCCTGGGATAGGTATAGATTGTGACGAACCTTTATTGATTATTTTAGAACCATGATCGTTTATCGATTTTATATCATTCGTTCATTGTCCATTGACATTATATAAATAAATATATTTGATCGATTGGGTGTTGTTTTTTCGTCTTTGATGTGTCTCTCGTTGGTCACGTCAGCTGGGAATCGTTTATAGCTTATATAGTTCTCGTATTCGACGACTATTTTAACTGATCAACGCCATAACAAAGAAGAGAAAGTCTCGAGCCAGGAAATCTAGTGTTTCGAATGAGGTATCGAAGTCACAGACGTAGTAGTAGTAGTAGTAGTAGTAGTAGTAGTAAAACTTTATTTAACCACGCTTCCCTCATCACCCATGGATGATTTTCATGAGGGGCGTCACAGAAATTACATGCTAAAAACTAATATAAATTAAATATGAAATAGAATAACATAGAATAACAAATACGTAGATAAAAAAGTTAAAAAACCAAGACTATTCGATGCCTGACTCTGTAGCACACATTATTTTATCAAATTTTTGAAGCTACTTAAAGATTCTGTTTGCTTTGCCTGCGTAGGTAAACTATTCCATAGAACAGCCCCTCTATATCCAAAACTCTTTTTTAAATATTCAGTACGTGGTTTAGGAACTGAAAGATTTATATCAGCATTTCTGAGAATATAATTAGTACTAAGACTTATGTCCCTTGTTACAAATTTATCCTTTAAGTTCGGAACTGAGTGGTTGTTTAATATTTTAAACATCAAGACCGATTTATTCATTTTATGTCTGTCGTTCAGATTTTTCCATGACATAGCATGGAGCAGATCTGTCGACCTGACATCATAATTGGCACCTGTCTGAATTCTTGCCGCCCTATTTTGTAGTTTTTGTAATTTCTCTCTGAGCATGCTTCCACAATCATCCCATAAAGATGAACAATAGTCAAAATAGGGGAGAACGAAAGAATTATATAAATTTTGTAGTGTTTCGGACGGTACAAACGGCTTTACTCTTTTGATGAATCCAATACCGGAGCCAACTTTCCTACATATTGTGTCTATATGGTTTTCCCAGCTCATTCTTTGATCTAGTTCTACTCCCAGACATGGAAAAGAGGAATATCGAGTAACCGGTTTATCATTTATCATAACCTGTTCATTACCAACTTTGTTTTTTAAGTTATAGGGTGATCCTATAAATATTGCTTTTGTCTTTTTTGTGTGAAGTTGCAATTTATTTCGAGAGAGCCATTTGACTATATTTTCTAAATCCTGATGAAGTTTGGTTACTAGTTCGGAGAAACTTGCGGAAGATGCATATATTTGAGTATCGTCAGCATACGTGCCAGGAGTTGTGTTTTTCAGACATTGAGGCAAATCATTTATATATAGTAAAAACATGAGGGGTCCCAAGATAGATCCCTGTGGGTCACAAACTTGGCTTCGTTTCGTCAAATAGGATTGGAACCATTTTAGCTCAAAATCTTGAGCACCAAACTGGTCTTGCATCTTCCTTAATAGGATTTTATGATCAATAGAGTCAAAGGCTTTCCTAATATCAACTGAAATTAATCCGGTTATTTCTCCATTATCCATATCTTTAAACCAATTGTCACCCATTTCTATTAATAAGGACAGTGTCGAATGTTTGGGCCAGAAGTCCGATTGAAAACGTGAAAGTAGAGAATTGTCTATCAGATATTGATAGAGCTGTCCAAATACTTCTTTCTCAAATAATTTGCTGATAATGGGAAGAATAGATATCGGGCGATAGTTTTCACATTTCGTTCTATCTTCTGTTTTATAAACAGGTATTACCCTAGCTCTTTTCCAATCATCAACATATATCCCAGTAGAAATTGAGAGATTAAATATATAGGTCAAGGATGGGGCAATAATATCGCAAGATAATTTTGGCTGGTATTCCATCAGCCCCGGTAGCCTTGGATACTTTTAGATTTTTCAGGTTTTTTAGAATATTGGATTCAGTAATTGTATGGAAATAGAATTTTGAATTTTCACCAATTGAATTACAATGCATGTCTTCATAATCCGAAAGACGTCCACATACAGCAGCGAGTGTTGGGCCAATATTAACAAAATAGTCGTTTAAGTGTTCAGCTATTTGTTTGCGATCATTATATATTATGCCATTAATATTAATTTCTGCAATGTTAGATGATTTTCCACCTTTGCCCAATAGGGTGTTTATCAGTGACCATGTTTTTTTTTCATGTCTTTGGCTAGGGAAAATTCCTTAATTCTTGTTTGATAATAGACAGTTTTGGCCCTTTTCATTTCCGAGTTAACTTTATTTCTCTCCGATTTATATTTATCCCAGTGAACCTGGGAATTATATCTCTTTGCTCTCTTTTTATGATAGTCTCTGGATCTTATTAGTTTTTTAATGTTGGAATTTATCCAGGGAACAGAATTGTGCTTAATGCTTTTATAAATTAAGGGTGCATGTCTGTCAAGAGCTTCCAAATAAAAAGATTTCCAGACATGCCAATTGTCGTTCGGGTTCATATACTGTGTAGCTCAATACCAAGGTATTCTGGACAGTTCCTCAATAAAATCAGTTTCATTAAATCTTTTGAACTTTGGAACGGGTTTGCCTATATTTAGGCATGGTCACTTTTTTCACTGCAAAAATTAAACTGTGATCTGACATTCCCAAGTCAATAACACCACTATTTGATTGGTGAACACTCGATCAATTAAAGATGATGATGTGTTTGTGACTCTAGTTGGCTCCTTGATCAATTGCTCTAAGTTATATAATGTGCTCAGAAATATTAATTTTTTGGTACTGGAGTCTTTTGGTGTCTTAATCATATTACAATTTATGTCACCAATAACAATCAACTCCTCACTTTCAGCATCACATTTACTAATAAATAATTCAGAGAAATCAAATAATTTCATCTCAGAGTTGGGCGGTCTGTACCATGCACTAATGAGAAATGGCCTACTTCGTGGTTTACAAATCTCAATACAAATCATTTCAAGATCATCTGAATTTAAATCCTTCCGCTCATAGAAGGAATATATTTCTCGAATATAAACAACCACTCCACCCCCAAATCTATTACGATCGTTTCGAATCATATTATATCTTGGGATACTTATTTCACTATCTTTTACTGAATTATCAATTTTAGATTTGTTTATAGCAAAAACGTCAATTTCAGAATCGGATAACATCAGTCGAAGTTCATCAACATGTCTTAAGAGACTATTAATATTTAAGCTTGCTATTTTCAGCCCCCTTAGTTTTTTTAATTTTATGCAAATAAGAGTCTTTTTTACCTTCAGAGTCAGGCATCGTATTGTTTACCGATGAGTTCGCTTCTTTGACGACTGGGGCATGATCATCCTTAACAGCTCTCCCAGTTGTCGAAGTTCCTACGGAAAACCCCCAGCACTTGATCGTGAGCTAGTTCCTCTAATAAATTTAATGAACTGAACAGCCAGTAGCGCCGAACCTTTCGCATTAAGATGCAGCTTGGACCCATTCAGGCAAGTCGCATCTCTGTTCCCATTTTCAATATAAGATATAGCCCTCTTTTGAGCATAGATCCTTTAATAACTCATTCGTTTCTTGTGTCTTTAATGTTACATCAATATCCTCTCTCGTTATAAGGCTGGATATCGCGATTCTAGCTTCCATAAACGTGCTCTTTATTCTGAAACTTAGAAGCTGAATATTATCGAAGCATTCTTTGCTAGAGTCGGTGATTATGTTGTTAGTACCAGCGTGTATAATTACTTCTGTGGGAGGAGAGTGGACATGCGCCGATTGAAACTCGTTTGCAATTTCCTCTGCTCTCTTACCTGGATATGTTAACTTACAAACTGAGCTTTTTGAAAGTTTGTGTGGATTTATATCTTTAATCATTGAATCACCAATTAGCAAGATGTTATGTTTAAATTTGCCATCTTTAAATTTTCCACCTACATCAATAGGGGTTTTTTCATCCTTAGATATTGTAGTTGTGTCTCGTACTGGGTCTTTATGTTGTCTAGCCTCTGATTGATCCAGATCTGATGCAGATTTGTTTGCTTCTTCTTCGTGGTCACTAACGCTGAGAACTTCTTGTTCTCAGATTCCAGGTCTTCAATTTTCTTCTTTTCTGCTAGTGATACTGATTCTCGCTGAAGTTCTATAACCTTAGCTTTTACTTCAGACAGAGATTGAAATAAGTTCTTGTTTTTCTCCTTTAAGTCATCATTCTCTCTGTTAAGTTCATACTTTTCCTTCTTAAGGTCATCAACAGTTTCTTCAAGTATCAGTATACCGTAAGCAGCATTTTCTTTATTCTCCTTTATCGTTGAAATTTCTTCCGCTAGAGCATCTAGCTTTCTAGTAACATTTTGTGAATAATTTTCCAGCTTAGAGTTTATTTCATAAAATTCTGGGGATTTATTGTAATTTGCGTCGTTTGTGTTGGTTGAGTAACTTTGACCATTTGTCCGAGTCATTTCATTGTTCACGCTACAGATTCGTGACCTCAAATGCAAATTTCTATCTGTTGACTCCAAAATATTTGCAACCTTTGGACTCTCCGAGTATACTTTGACTTCACCGCTCAATTTGCGGTCGAAATTTAATAGTTTTTCTTTTATTTCGTCGGCCTTTTCCCCCTTCACCGTCAAAGATTTACTATTCGAATACCAACGTATCGAGACTTCCCCGTTTTCGAACAGTTTACAGTAACCTCCCGGGCTTGTCCACCCTTTACTATATTGTAGTTGTAGTCGGTCAACAGCTAGACGAAGCTCTTCGAAATTCTTTTGCCATTTCAAATTGCCATTGGCTATCATTAAAATGCTGCTCTCAATTAGTTCGCTATCACTTTATGGTTTCGTGAGATTAACAAGCGAATTGTTCTGGTTGAATTCGGATTCAGTTAGGTTTAGATCTCCCTCTATGCTGTTTAATTCTTCTGTAGATCTGCTAATTTTGTCTCGTTTACCGTTCAAGTCTGATTCGTTTCGATTCTGTGTTATTGCTTTAGACATTTTATTGCCGTAACAATACTTATTAACAAAAAATTTAAGAGTATACAGAGCACCAAATGTACGTTAGTCCTACTTCGTTAAGTCCTACTTCGCAAGTCAATCAAGTAGAGCCTGAGGAAGAACAGTCAGACAATGCAATCTCAAAATTCACCTATATTTGTGAGGGATAACAATGTCGATCAGTCCGAAAATTTCACGGATGTTGTTCAATTGCAAAGCCCATTGCCTGTCGCTTCTGGCGAGGCTACGACGAGTTTTGCTTCAAGAGAAGGGCATATAGATCAAGAACTATAGCTCAGAAATATATAGCTCAGAAACTTCAGCAGAGGAGAGATTTAATAAAGTCTAAGAGAGATTGTCATGCTTGTCTCAGCCCAGGACACTTTGTAAAGAATTGCAGAGGGGCCCGCATGTGCGGTGTTGAAGGTTGCCAAAGAAGACACCACCCTTTACTGCATTCGTCCGAAAAGGAAGTCAAACCTCCCCAAGCAGATCCTGGTGCAGAATCCAGTTTAGCTCCTGAGAACAACCGGTCTACGCAAGATATGCAATCTGGCGGATATAATGTATCGGGTGTTGGTGCAACAAATTCCTCGTCTCGCAGCTATCGTATTGGCCTTCAAGTTGTTCCTGTCAGGGTTAGTGCACCTTACGGTAATCACATTATTGAAACTTATGCGTTTTTGGACAGTGGATCAAACACGACTATGTGTTTGTCCAGCTTAGCTGAAGATCTTGGTGCTGATTGTACGTTGAGTTTACCTTATCAAGAAACCAGAAACGAAATGGCCAACAATTGTCTCTCGATGTTGTCGGAGTAGCCACTGGAAAGGGTGTTAGATTAAATAAAGTGTGGACAACCGATAGTTTACCAGTGCCCCAGAGAGCATTCCAACGACTAGTGACGTGCAAGATTGGTATTATCTTAAGGACGTTGACATTAGTGATTTAGTGGATAAGAAGGTAACCATTCTGATTGGAAGTGACGTCCTGGAAGCTCTTTGTCCTCTTGAAGTACGTGCGTGGAAGAAGAACCAACCTCATGCAATAAGAACAATTTTAGGTTGGACGGTGATGGGAAACAGTTACCAGGAAGCCCAGTTGAACTGTATCTATGTTGATCAAGCGCTCGGTTGCAAAGAAGACATGAAGGGGAAAGTTCTATTCACGAGCAATTAGAAAGTCTATACAACTCTGAGTTTAGTGAATCGACAGTCGACCTGAAGGAATGTCTTTCGAACGAGGACCGTCGTGCGAAGGCGATGATGGACATTTCCATTAAACTTAAAGATGGGCACTACGAGATTGGCTTTCCGTGGAAGTATAGCGAACCAAACTTACCGAATGATCAATCAATCAATCAATCAATTTTTATTTAAAATCAAAACACGCTAGCCTCGCACAACTAAAAGCTGATTTACAAGAGGGGCGTGATATATAAAACAGTAGAATATATGGAATATTATATTAACCCCCCAACCTCCACCCAACAACAAATTGAGAAAAATAAAGTCAAGTAAAGTAAATAAAGAGAGTTAACTATAATTAAGTCAACATGAAATAAGTGCAAGACATTGCACTTATTTCAGTGGCAGAAAAGAGACTGGGCTATTTGAAGAAATAACTTGAGAGAGATCCTACTCTTCATGCTAAATATAAGGCGCCAATGGAGGAATACATCTCGGAGGGACATGTCAAGAGAGTTAAACCGAATGAAGGAGATAATCCGGATGGTTTATCACCTAAGAAACCGATCTGGTACTTACCCCATCACCCTGTGACCCATCCACAAAAGCCAGAGAAGGTGAGGATTGTTTTCGACTGTGCTGCAAAGTACCACAATACATCCCTCAACGATCACCTACTTCAAGGATCCGACTTTACAAATTCGTTAGTTGGCGTGTTGCTGCGATTCCGTCAGGAAAGAGTAGCCGTGATGGCTGCCATAGAGAAGATGTTTCATCAAGTCAATGTCAAGGAACAAGACCGTGAAGCGCTGTGGTGGCCAGATGGAGAACTGTCGAAAGAACCAGTTGAACACCAAATGACCGTTCATTTGTTCGGAGCAACATCTTCGCGTTGTCCGTATGCATTAAAGAAGACCGCCGAGGATAATAAGCAGGGCTTCAGTAAGCAAGTCATTGACACGGTGAATCGTGACTTTTATGTAGACAATTGCTTGAAATCGTTACCAACGAAAGAAGAAGCTGTCAATTTAGTGGAAGAGCTCCCGGTATTATTATCTCGCGGCGGTTCCGACTGACCAAATGGTTGTCGAATGAAAGGGAAGTATTATCCCACGTGCCAGATAACGAAAGAGTGCCATGCGTCAGTTTGCAATTGGAATATTTACCAAAAGATAAAGCGTTGGGTGTTCAATGAAACACAGAAACGGACAACCTAGGATTTCGTAATGGAAACCTCGGAGCAGAAACCAGAAGAGGAATTTTATCCTTCGTCGCGTCTGTTTATGATCCACTTGGTTTAGTTGCTCCTGTTGTTTTGCCAGCGAAGCGTATGTTACAGGAACTTTGTCGAAGTAGTCGTGGATGGGACGAAGAACTTCCGAAAGAGATCAGCACGGAATGGCAAACCTGGCAGTACGAGTCCCAGTCGCTTACAACAACCGAAATTCCAAGATGTTACAAACCTTCAGGATTCAAAGAAATAAAGAGTGCGGAGCTTCACAACTTTGCTGACGCGTCGACCGGTGGATATGGTACAGCGTCATACCTTCGCTTAGAAGACACGTGTGGAAAGATTCATTGTAGCTTGGTTATGGGTAAAGCTAGAGTGGCACCCCTGAAAACAGTCACGGTGCCGAGACTGGAACTGACCGCCGCAACCCTAGCTGTGAAAGTAGATAAACAGATTCGCGAAGAACTAGATATACCCATTGATCGTGTTATTTTTTGGACGGACCCCACCATAGTACTTCGCTACATCGCTAACACGTCGAAAAAGTTTCAAACCTTCGTGGAAAACCGACTTCAGACCATCCCATAGAAATAGTAGACCTAGAATGCGTGCTTGATCACGTGACCGGTGTCCAAATTGAAAAAAAAAATTCCCTTATAAATCCGCCATGTTGAATTTGAGCAGGAATGCAAACTACAAAGTATAAAACAAAGCTAAAATTAAGTTTTCATTGTCAAAACGTTTTGTCTTGCTGTCTAATTTGTAGTTGGGGATGTATTTTGAAATATTAAGAGGCTGTCTCCCTAAGATCCACCTACTGACTCTCGCGTTGAAAATTATTTTCCCTTCGTATTTCTATCATTTGTTAGCCTTTGTTAGTAGGTAATAAATATGCATACATCTTTTGGATTCTTGTTTTATTTTTCAAGTTTTGCTATATTTTCTATTTTGTGTCTGCCATGGCTATTTTTAGACAGTTTCAGACGTAAAATTATCCATTTTCAAAGGAACTTCAGATATGTGTACGACATAATTTGATTTTGATTTTTGGGTCATCCGAAAGATTTACATCTATACAACAACTTGACGGCAATGATTTGTATATATTACAGGAATTTTGTTGTTTTTTTAAATTTTTTCTAACGCCAATTTCGACTTGTCGGCAAAATTGCGAAAATAACCATCTTTCAATTTTGTTTTTTTCAAAAGTGCAACCAGTTATACACCCAGACTAAACTGGAAATTATACTACAAATATTGTTCTATAATTCTATGAAAAAACTTTTTTGGGGAAACAAACTGGTGCGCTCTGAATTTAAATGAAATATTTGCAAATTTGACGTGGCATTAACTACACTCGGGAATTATCATCTCAGTATGACATTGAACAAACAACTGATATAATATATTTAAGACATTTGATCACGTCTATTTGACATTTACAAAGAAAAAGAACAATATTTCACGCATGCTGTTTGTTTTCGCTAGCATACTTTTGAAATAGATAAAAACAAGCGTGTTCCTTGGTATAAGGCCAATGAAAATTGATATCATGTTTCTCGTCCACAATTTTCAAAAATTTGGAGCGGGATTTTTTCATTTTTCATTTTTCATTAGTTTTTGTATTTGAATTCTGCTTGTCAATAATTTCCTTGACCCAGTAAAAAACCCCATAAAAATCTGCAATATTAAAAATTGGTGTATAATTCATTTTAATTTAATACGTCCTACACTACAGTCTACAGTCTACAGACTACAGTATATTTCTACACATACCAGCGCTGACATGAAAAATAGAGGCATTCTGGCGAGTAATATCTTTAGAAAGATACAATTTGAGTTGCGCTTGCGGAATGCAGCAATAAGACTTTGATCTGGAGATGAATTTGGTGTTTTTAAGCCTATTTTTCAAAAATAATGAATAATGAAAAATTTTCGTGCGGCAGATAAATCCCATGCGGGCGGGGACGAGAAACATGATATCAATTTTCATTGGCCTAATATTTCAATCACAAAAATCGTCAATTAAGGGTTTTCTATATATTCATCCAGTTTTATCAAATATTTATTGCTGTAGTATCAGCATAAGGATGCAATCACTCTTGTGAACATAAAATAACATTCAAAAATTGACGGGGGCAAAAAATAAGAAACAAACAGCTAATAGTAAAGCGGGTTTTCCCCCAAGGTAGCTATTCAATGTGCTGTGCTATTTTTAGACTGAATCATGTTCATTACATCATTCTCGTTTTAGAAACGCGTGTTTAATAAATATAACGTACATGCACTGAATTCAACTTAAACTATTACTTTAAAACTGTCATGGACTGTGTTAATTAATATGCTTGAATGTTCAGATGATGTGAGCACTCACTTGTCGAGATGTCATCTGTCAAGAGAAAAACTTTGCGAATATGAGCTTATTTTATTGCTTTGCGGCATGTTTGATATTTCTCATGATCAACTGCAACATATGAGAATTTGTCCCAACCATCGGTATAATTTGGGAAAATTCTGGCGTCCATCACGTGTTTGCCAATACCCACTCCATACTGGTTCAAACTCTGCCGTTACGGGGAATCACGTCATAACACTACAGCTTACCAAAGACGCACATTTACTCTTTGGGAAAACAGTGCCTATCGGATCTCGTAAGTACTTATTCTTATCTTGGAATCGTTTCCTTGATTTTTTCTTCGACAGTACGGCATGGACCTTTCTCTATTTTTAGCAATATGCCGAGAATGTAGAGGAAAGCGTGACAAAAAAATGAGAAAAGAAGGTGAATGGGTCAGATTGAAGGCTGATACTGAATCTGTCAATGATATTACGGACAAGTAAGTGCTATTTTCTGTTCATGTTGGTTCATATGTCTTCATATTGCAAACATACAGTATACATGATGACGATATATGTATGCATCCTATTTTACAGTGGCGCCGTGGCAGGGGGGGGGGGTGCTTGCCCCCCCCCCATTGTTGAGACCTGTCGGAAAATTGGTAATATTGTCGGAATTTTCGTGGTCAAGCATACCTGCATATACGCAGGCCCGCCGAATGCTAGTTCGGAAAAAGTGCTACGAAAGCAATTATAAAATGGAAACCACGAGGAAGCATCAAATAACCGCCCACTTTCTCTCCTTACCTTTCTTTCGAAAATTTGTGAAAAAGTCGCCTTGAATCAATTTGGTTCGTATCTAATGAAGAACAAAAAATTGTCAACCCACCAGAGCGGGAACAAGAAACATCACTCATGCGAAACATTGAATCTTTTGACCGGAGATACTATCCTAAAGGCCATGGACGGGAAATTGGTTACTGCACTGATTCTAATAGATCTATCTAAAGCTTTCGACAGTGTAAATCATACTTTTCTCCTTACAAAACTTAGCAACGTCGGGGCTTCTCCAAGCGTTGTAAAATGGTTTGAGAGTTACTTGACCGGAAGAACTCAATCAGTCAGAATTGGATCAACTGTGTCTACTCCTCTCCCTGTTTCTTATGGTGTACCACAGGGTGCAATTTTATCACCTTTACTTTTTAGTATTTATACTAACGATTTGCCCTTATCAGTCCACCATAGTAAACTTGAATCGTACGTGGACGACTCCAAGATATTACTATCTTTCACTGTGGCTAACGTGGACTGTTTAAAGCAACAACTTGAGGAAGACTTGAATTTGATTGCAAACAGTTGTTCCGAAAATGAATTGCTTATTAACCCGGGAAAGACCAAATACATGCTGATTGGCACACGGCAAAACCTACAACAACTTCCCGTAGATATGACCATAAACTTCCTCAACGAGACTATTACCCCCGTCTCCTTTGCCAAAGATCTAGGAATGACAATCGACTCTTATTTGACATATGACCAGCACATCACCAACCTGGTTTCCTCATGTATGAATTCCCTGTGCCAAATAAACCGAGTCAAAAAATGTTTCGATAAAGAAGCTTTAACTCTCATCGTCTCGGCACTTGTAATGAACAAAATGTTCTATTGTTCAACGGTTTGGTCAAACACTTCGTCTACCAACATTAAGAAACTACAGTTGGTACAAAATTTTGCATGCAGGATAATAACAAATATTGGAAAGTTCGACCATATTTCGCCGGGCTTACGCGAACTTAACTGGCTCCCAGTAAAGGAACAATTACTACTAAGAGAGGCTATTATGATGTACAAATGTGTCAATGAACTTGCTCCACATTATTTGAGCGATTTATTCACAAAACGTTCTGACATTCATCAACGAGATACACGTAGCCATGACTCACTGCAAATACCATTGTACAAAACTTCTGCAGGTCAAAGGTCCTTTCATTATAGAGGCGTTACACTCTGGAATAATTTGGACATTAAGTTCAAAAAGTTAGACTCCCTAAAAACTTTCAAAAACAAACTGAAGCGAAGCATGCTAGAACAAATATATAAGTAGATAATTTTATCTTGTTAAACTTTATACAAATGTCTTACCTTTTTACCTTAATTTAAATTCTAGATTCTAAAACTTGTAAATAGAACAACATTTATTTTTTGTAAATCAGTGTTGAAAATCCCTATTTAGGGAACACAATAAAGTATGTATGTATGTATGTATGTATGTATAACGTTCTTATCCGGAAACATTTTTGACCAAAAAAGTTGTCGACGGGGGAGGGGGATAGTTTGTCGGAAAAATACTTCCCTTGGCCCCCCAAAAAACACGGGACACAAGACGCCCATGCTATTTTACCCTTTTCAATTTATCATTAATGATGATATTTTGATCATTAACCTAATCATTTATGATGATATTTTGATCCTTTCACGTTTTTATCAACAGATTGAAAATGACATCACTATTGCCATATCTTACTGGAACAATCTCTCCCTCAACTTCATTGGCTAGTCCAGATGCGACTGACATGTGGACACCTAGCAATGCCACTTTACTAAACTACTCCTCTTCAAGTTGTGAAGACCAATCTACTCCTTCGACAACTGACGTCTACAACGAATCTATGTCTCATCTGGCAAGTTTAACGTCTTTCAAAGAAATTTCAACATTGTCATTTCGACTAACTAGCAGTTGGGATGAAACTACACAAAGTGAGAAAGAAGCGTGCATTGAAAAGGCTAGCGAAGCATGCCAAGTACAGTGTGTATTGTAAAGAACAAAGTTCATGCCCAGATCACTGCAGAAGTTTTGCGTTAAGCGATTCAAAACTAACTTGTTTTCAGAAATCTTGCAATCATGAACATAATATTTTCTGCGACAGATGTGAAGAGCTCAAATTCGTCCTTAGTGAGATTGAGAACATTATTCGAACTCATTCAAGCAGTGTGACCAGATTATAAAATTCGATTCTGCTAAATAGCTGAGAAAATTATGCTAAATCATGATAAATTATGCTAAATGTATATTTGATTAAAATATGGTGAAATATTAATTTGTAAAACTGTTAAATGCCATCGGCCATAGCAGAACGAATGACAACGAGTTTATGAAAGTGAAAGTTTGAACCAGCGAAAGACGCCATGACCATGTATCACGTGACGTGTCCAGGGAATCAGACTGAGCGCTATACATATACATGATGGGGGGGGGGGGTCCTCATCTGGACTTCGTCAATAGACATGTTAGACTACTTGCCTACTTTTCCTCAAATTTCCATCCCTCCCCCTTACAAAAAAGCATATTTGAAATTTGCAAAAGGAAGTTTTTCAGCATCATGCTAACATCATGCTCAAGCAGTTATTTTATGCTAAAATTATGCTAAATTTTTCATTATTCCAAATCTCTTCAAAAATTTGTGAAATTAAGCTAAACTAGTATTATGCTAAATCTGGTCACACTGCTTCAAGCACCATGTATTCTAACGAGCAACAAGGAGACTACATAGACGATTTTGGTAAATGCAAGGAAAACATTTTCAAATGGAAATGTCACATGATTCTTCGTTCCTGTAACCAAGAAATGGCCAGGCAAAACGTTCTTGAAATTCTGGACGAAAATTCCGCGCTCATTGTAATAGACTGGGCAATGAAATTTACGCAGCGTCGCTTCAGGGAAAAACAAATCCGTTTGGTACGCAAAGCGAGGAATGAGTTGGCACGTGAGTAGCGTTATTACTAGACATCAAGATACAAATCGGCTGGAAGTATGTACTTATGCGCATTTCGTTTCAAAATGTTATAAAATGCGGATAATATAGCCTTGCGAAGTTTGCCGTTTTTCAGTCATTTTGCATTACAAACGGGTAATTGATAATCACATTATCAAACTGATTATCAATTTCCCATTTGTAATACAAAATGACTGAAAACGGCAAACTTTGCAAGGCTATATATTATCCGCATTTTACAACATTTCGCAACGAAACTACGGAATATTACTAATTTTGTGATGCTCTTTCAAGCTATGATGAAATTTTTATCCAGTCTAGACCAAAATTTTACTTAAAAGGGGAAAGGTCTATTTATCTAAAAATATCAGTCTAAAAATAACACAACACATTTGAATGGCTACCTTGGGGGAAAACCCGCCTTACTATTGGCTGTAAATTTTCTCATTTCTTTGCCTTGCGTCCTTGCCCCCGACAATTTTTGAATGTTATATATGTTCACAAGAGTTATTGCTTATGCTGAGTGAACTACAGCAATATACCAATAAATATATTTGATGAAACTGGATGAATATATATACAAAACTCTTAATTGGTGATTTTGTGATTGCAATTATACCAAGGAACACGCTTGTTTTTATCTATTTCAAAAGTATGCTAGCGAAAGCAAACATGCAGCATGCATGAAATATTGTTCTTTTTCTTTGGAAATATCAAATAGACGTGATCAAATGTCTTAAACATATGATTTAATTTGTTTGTTTAATGTCATACTAAGATGATAATTTCTGAGTGTAGTTATAATGCCAGGTCAAATTTGCAACTATTTCATTTAAATTCAGAGCGCACCACTTTGTTTCCCCAAAAAAGTTTTTTCATAAAATTATAGAACAATATTTGTAGTATAATTTCCAGTTTAGTCTGGGTGTATAACTGGTTGCACTTTTGAAAAAAACAAAGTTGAAATATGGTTATTTTCGCAATTTTGCCGGCAAGTCGAAATTGGCGTTAGAAAATTTTTTAAAAAACCCCGAATTCCTGTAATATATACAAATCATTGCCGTCAAGTTGTTGTATAGATGTAAATCTTTCGGATGAACCAAAAATAAAAATCAAATTATGTCGTACACATATCTGAAGTTCCTTTGAAAATGGATAATTTTATGTCTGAAACTGTCTAAAAATAGTCATGGCAGACACAAAATAGAAAATACATCAAAACTTGAAAAATAAAACAAGAATCCAAAAGAGGTATGCATATTTATTACATACTAACAAAGGCTAACAAATGATAGAAATATGAAGGGAAAATAATTTTCAACGCGAGAGTCAGTAGGTGGATCTTAGGGAGACGGCCTCTTAAATCTTCTAGATTGAGTGCCTGTCGTGTACTTCACAAAGCGCTTTGTTCTACACCACAACCGACGCTGAACCCCCTCAGGCTGCTCCATTTACTG